TTTGGCAAAATGTAGTCTTGGGTCTGTTGAATCTAGAATTGGGGGAAAAAAAAAAAAAAAGGCCAAGAGGTATAACAAAGCCTGAGACAAAGTAAGACTAACTTTGTAAATCCAAAAAAGTTTGTCAGAATATTTTTTCCTGGTTTCCCAACACTGTATCAATGGCATGCACTTCCATGTCAAATTTGCCAATTGATGCGTGTTTGGGTTTCTGTACCAGGTGAGTGGGTAGGCAGTATGGGTTAGTGAAAGATTAAATTTATATATGTACACACATGCATATACATATGTATATATACATATATACACATGTACATATAGACCTATATTCATATATACACACATAAGTATAAACTACACATATACACAGATTCATACATACATACAATTTCAGGACTTTTCAATGTCTTCAATAAGCTAATAGATGCTATAACTCTCCAACAGAGGGAACACAATAGGACCTAATGCACTGGCTGCCAGCATCCTGGTTTTTCTTGGGCTGCTCCATCGACGCACTTCGGAGAAATATTAGATCTTAAAGCCAAATGAGACACAGATGTCTACAATGCAGGTGACTCACCACCAACAATTTGACTCCTTTCATTCATGGATCCATTCATCAGACAATTATTACACACCTGTTGTGTGCTTCACCAAGTCTTGTTATTCCTCACTATTGCATATCTATGCCTGAGCATTCTAATCCCACATTTAAATCTACACTTTGGTTGCTCTTAAAAACAAACAAACAAACAAGCCCTAGAATGGAGGCCCACCACTTAACATGTGCTGCTGCAAACATTTCTCTGCTTTCTCTTTCCTGGTTGCAATGCACTTCCAAGGCAGAGGGCTTTTTATTTCCTTTGACCCTCCTACTATTTATCCACCCATACAAAACCAGGGGCACAACATAGCTACTGTAACTGTGAAGATGAAGGGCGTGCCTGTCATCTAGGCAAAGGGGACCTTGGGGAGTTGGGCGGTGAGAGAGGAAGGGAGTGCCATTAGGAACCTTGCTTGCTCCCAGCCCTCCTGCCATTTGCTCTGCAGAGCTGCCCCCAGAGCAAACGTCAGCACTGCTCTCCAGCTCTGCCCACGCCCTGAGACTTAGCCAAGGTGAGGAGATGCGTTAGCCTCCCTCCTCCTAATTATCCCCTTGGTGAGAAAACGAGAAGAAAGCGCAGGCTGATCACAGAGTCTTTCCCTCCACAATTACGCTGCGTGTGGGGATAGCCCTGTGGGGCTGCCAGCTCCCTGCAAAATTCCTGCCTCGGATGACAGGGAGGTGGCTGTGCCAGGTGCAGAGCAGCCGCACAGAGCGGTGGGGCCACAGTAGGTAAACAGGCCCCGCGAGGACTCCGCAATCCCTCCCCACACGGGAGATGGAAGATGAATCGCGGGGCACCTGCCAGAGAAAACCCAGGACAGCTGGGCTGAGGGAGCGACCGTTCACCCCCTACTTCCCTCCCCAAGGCATGGAGGCGAGGGCAGATAAATGACAACAACCTCCCACAGCAGTGCCCCCAAAGGACCCCAAGCTGTCAGCACAGAGACCAATCACGCTGAAGTCCCCGCAGGCCGCTGCACTGACCTGGGGTTCGCCACGGAGAGCTGCAATGCCCTCCTCACCACGTGTGTCACCGACAGCCTTCTTCGGAGCAAGAAAGGAGTAGGGAGTGACTATCTTCCTTTCCCACATCAAAGGGGAACAAAGTCCAGAGCTACTCAATCAGGAATTATCTTTCACTCCTATAGCACTTTGCACTCTACAGAGCACCTTCACACACACATGCAGCCCAGCCTGGACAGGGATGCTCGCTCCATGTCACAGATGAGGCAAGGAAGTTCTGGGGAGATGATGTGCCCAGAGACAGGACGGATGCGAATCTGCTCCGCAGCCTCAGAGGGGTGCGGTTTACCCTGACTGACCCATCCTGCCGGGAGCGGGGCCACAGTCCCAGGCCTGGCGCCGCATTTCTTTGAAACGTTCAATAGCTCAACTGAAAGCGTTTATAAATCCCCCACTGTTGGTGTGGGTGAAGAGATGCCAGAGGTTTAGGAGCACTTGCTCATTCTCTTAAACCTTGTTTTTTCCTACCCTCCGTCTATCCTGGGTTCCAGGAAGAGTTGAAGGCTTTCCGAAGCTAGAACTCCACCCCGATGGCACGGGTCCGGATGTTCAGGCAGAGCCTCGTGGGGTTCCCACAGCAGGGGCTGCATCCGGACTGGCCACAGGGCCTGAGGGGCGGGGCGGAGTGCACCGCTGCCGCCTCTGGGCCTGGCAGAGCAGGTGACCGTGACTGCTCCGTCATAAGCCGGTGAAGGCACTCCCCAGTGCCTGGGCCAGCCTGGAGCCTTGCCTTACTTACTAAAGAATTTGAGTATTTCTTTTGGCAATGCAGTGTCTAGAAACTTGTTTACGTAACACAATACTGTGGGCATACAGTAGTTATCTCTAAACACTCATATCTGATAAGGAAACATCAGTTTATTCCTCAAGCTTTCCTGCTACACATCTATTTAAAATCCTTTGATCTTATTTAGGTTAAAAATAACCCTCAAGGCAACAACAGTGTGTTTGTGTGTATATTCTGTTCCTATCTGTACAGAAAATCTGGAAGGTAGCACAGCAAGCTGATAAACATGGCAATTCTGCAGGCAGCACCAGGTTTGGGAACCACTGGAAAATGCTTTGGAACTTGGATGGCAATCCAGGTTCATCCATTTCCTAGTAGTGTTCCCTTAGAGGAGTTTCTTAACTTCCACAGACTCAGAATTGACTGGAAATGGGAAGAGTGATGCCTGCCTTGCAGGACTGTTGTAAAGGCCAGAGATAAGACCCACCTGGCACAGAGCACAGGCTCAGCAAGTCCTGGCTATCCTTATTGTACTTTTGCAAAAGAGGATGGTTACCCAAAGGCCACGCCTCTAGCCTCCCTGTAGCTGTAGGAGAGAAGGAAGAGCATCACTCATCATTCTCAAGTCCTGAATTTGCATATGAGGTGGGACACCAGCCCATGGGCCATTTATTTCCTGGTGGAGATTAGAGTGTATGGGTGATTCTCCATTTGCTCGCCACCACCCATGACCCCACCTCCATTCTCCACCCTTCCTCACCTGCTCTGTGGCCTGGCGGCTGCTCTGTGTGTGGCTTCCGGCTGAGATCTGCTGATGGGAAGCACCAGCTTGAATCTGGGTATTTATCCCTGACTCTCTCCCCGCTTCGCCAAATCTCTGGTAGCGGCTCTGTCCCTTCTGCAGGCAGAGCACCTGTGTGGCAGCCCCTCTTCCAAGATTCTAGCCCTGGCTACCTCGGTAAGCAATTCTCTCAGGATGCACCTTTTAGACAAACCCTCTGAGGGTTCTACCTGCTTCCTGATAGGACCCTAACTGAAACAACAGGGCGGAGGCTTTCTCAATGTGAACTATAACACTGTTAGAAAAGAGACTAAAAGTAACTGGAGACAATTAAAGCTCTGGAGACAGAGTAATAATGTCCAGTTCAGGCTGGGGCTCTGCTTTTCATCCCTGGAACCTTCAGGAATTGAAGCAATTTTCACCCAGGTAGAGAGACCATTGAAAAAAAGAGCTGAACCTAAACACCTTGACTTCTCCTGCAGCAAGGAGCCCATTTTCCACCTCCCTAAAGTAACAAGCTCCCTGGGGCAGGCAAGGGAAGAAGCTGCACCCCTGATGATCACTCCGGAGTCCGTGCCCTTAAACCGATCCATCATCTGCAGCCCCTGTGGGAAGACGTGGAAAGGACATTGAGAGCAAGGAGAGGCGAAGAAGGGGATACGCACAGCCTCAGCTCCTGAGAGTGACTCCCCACCCACAAAATGCTCGCCACGGAGGAGACAGGGGGTGGGGGCGTGCTCCCGCCACGGACCGGCTCATCAGCCCCAGGGGTCGACCAGAAATGAGAGAGTGTCTGTGAAAACAATGCTGAAAGGAATGGCAGCTTAATGTGTCTCTAGAGTCAATAGACATGCCCTTGGGTGAAGATTCAAAAAAAACAAAAAAAACCCCCAGGAAACTACAGCTTTTGAAAAGAGAGCAAGACTGTGATAAACTAGAATTCACTGCAATGTTATCAAATACAAAACTAAATCCTGTTGGAAGCCTTTCTCCTTGCAGAATCCCCAAACAGCGCACAGCATGAGGGCAGTGTCACCCGAGTTTGAAAAACGATCCAGAGAAATATTCCTAGACACCATTTGAGAAGGAAAAACAAATATTACTGGACACACTGGGTAATTTTGCCCACAGAAACACTATGAGTAACTCCAACACTTTAAAAGGAAAATAATAGCTTGAGCCCAATAACCAAAACACTGAGAATACACAGGAACAGCCAATAGCCTTCCAATGCCCTCCTAACCCTAACACAGTCCGGTGCTTGCTGACGGCCTGTGTTCCACCCACAGAGCCCGCCGGCATTCCATCGTACACCTCCTGGAAATTTAATAAATGGGACCACGGGTTGCACACTGATGTATAGCTCAATTCGGGCACAACAGAATAAACATAAATGCATGGCGATTTTTAGTCTAGACACAGTAGCTGAGTCCTGATTCTCATTCTGCTTCACATAACGTTCACTTTTTCTCTGCTTAAACCTCCCTCCCTCTTGCTGCAGAGGGAGGATATATGTGGGTGGTAGGAGAAAAGATTCAGCCTTGTACATATCACATATAGTTGTTATTCAAGGAGAATTGGAATTGACAGGGAATAGTACTTTTACTGAACCATCAGAAAATAACATATTAATACTGTCAAATGGCTTCCCAACATCCATCATCTTCCAACCAATCAGTCAATTGGCACACATGTTTTTTCCCCCCCCAATTCAATTTTGAACTACTCAGGAGTGTAGCTTTCGGACTGGGTGACTCCACCTGATCTCAGTCTGCAAACAGACCTGGCTGCAGAGATTTGAATAGCGGCAACAAGTCACCAAAAGTGATTTGCAAAGCCCTCTGGCTTGGTGCTCGTCTTACCAGTCGAGTCGGCCCCAGACGCCCTGCGGCTCAGCTGCTCCTCTGCATTGATGAGCTGCAGGTCTGTGTACGAGGGGCCACAGCTGGGACTACTGGTGTCTCCAGAATGGGTAGTCCAGCTGCTCTCCGAGGTCAGAGGGCATCTGCCCAGCGAGTTGAAGGAAGGGCACGTCCAGCAGGGCATGGTCAATGGCTGGCCTAGGGATAGACCACAAACCAAAAGCATACGCTGTAAAGAGTTGTACTCTATTTACCTTTAGAGCTTGTCTTACTTTGATATTGCTCAGAGCCTATGAAATCTCAACAGCCGCCCAAGGCAAGGAAGTAGAGGAAGTACTGTTACCATAAGAGAGTCAGTGGAGCCCAGGGGAGGCTCCGCCCATTGGCCAAGATGGTGGAAGGGGGATGTTCTTACACTGAGCTTGCTAAAAGCTAGAAAGATGAATGGATAAAGCCCAAGCCTGCCCTAAAGCTAGAAAGGTGAGTGGATAGGGCCCAGAGTGAGCCAAAGGCTAGAAAGATCATTAGGTTAGGAGAAAAGCCCTCCTCTCCCTATCTCAGTAAGAACTGTGGACTTGAGCAGGAGGTAGAGATGGCCTTTGAGGAGTCCACCATTCTCCCAGGTTGTGCGGCACCTAAATAAACCTCTTTCCTTTTGCATGAGCACCCTTCTCACACGTTTAGTCTTTGTGGTGACAGGAAGCTGAACCTTGTTTTTTGTTTGGTAGCAGTTTCACTCACGATAATGAGTAGGGAAAAGCAACTGAGACCCTACTGTGCGCCAGTGTCAAAATCAGTACAACCGAGGTCTCATGACCCTCAGATCTGAAAATAAAATCTTACTAAAGAATATCGGTGATTTTATGGTTTACTTTTATTTCTAAACTTTGTGTTCAGTTTCATTCAAACCCAAATACATGAGTCTTACAGTTTCATTCTTATCCTTACATTTCCTCCATTTTTAGGTACAGACCAAATAACTCAAGAAGATTCACCAATTTACACTACAGATTTAGATCTAGATTGGGTTAAGGAAGTAAAAAAGATTAAAAATTGAAAAAACACTCATTATTTGCAGATAATATTTTTGTGTACATAGAAAAAACCCAAAAGACCCTACTGATAAATTACCAAGGTAATAATTTTAACCATATTCTTTAAAACATTTCTGAAAAACAGCAAGAAATATATATAAAATGGAACTTAAAGCAAGATAACATTACTAATAGCAACTAAAGATATGAAGCATACTAGTAATAAATCTAACAAAAAATGTGCAAGACCTCAGGTGATAATTCTAAAGTTTATTAAGAGACCATAAAAAAGACCTAAATAAAGAGAGAAATATATTCAGGGATAAAAAGATTTAATGTTTTAAATATGTTAATTCTCCACATATTGGTTTATAGGTTTATTGCATTCTCAGTCAAAATTCTAGATTTTTTCCCCTCATATTAATAAGCAGAATCACACTATTCAGGTATGAATGAAATAGAATTTTTAATAATGTAAGTATATATTTAAAATAAATAAAATAGAAATAACACTGGAAAAATACCATATGGAAAAAATTAGGTTCCTACTTCACATTATACAGAAAAATCAATTCTAAGTAGACGGAATGTCAAAGTGGGAAAAGCTATGCAAAAAATATTTTAGAAGATATATAACTAATATGCTCATGACTTCAGGATAAGGAAGATTTCATTATCAAGGCTCAGACATCACTAAGCATAAAACAAAGAAATGTCACACCATTAAAATTAAGAACTTCTTTTCAACAAAAGGCACCATAAAGAGAGTGAAAAGATCATCCACAGGGTAGGAAATAATATCTGCCATACATCATATCCACAAGAAACTCCCAGAGATCAGCAAGAAAAAACAGAGGTACTCCCACAGGAATATACTTGTATAGGTAGTTTGTAAAAGAAAAAATCCAAATTAAAAAAATAAAAGATGTTCAACCTCATTAGTAATCTAAAAAATGCAAATTAAAACCACAGGAGATTCCATTACTCTCTCCATTTCCTTTTCTCCCCACCTCTGCATGACAAAAATAGAAATGACAATTCCAAGTGTAGGTAAGGAAGTGGGGTCGCAGCCTTTTTGATATACTAGGCTGATAGGAGGGTACCGATAAATTGGTATATTCTGGTAAAGTTGAAGATAAACACACCCTACAGCACAATAATTCCCTCTGACTTTTTTATACAAGAGAACCACTTACACATGTTCACCAGGATTTATGTTTAGAATCTTTCCAGAAAAAAAGAACAAAAAGAATGCTCACAGACATGCCTTCTTAATTCCCAAAAAGTAGAAACAACCCAAGTATCCATCAAAAATAGAATAGATAAATGAATTACGGTACACTAATAGGATGGAATTCACAGCAATAAAAACTAAAGGAACTATGGCTACACTACCGATAATATCATAGAAATAATCTCACCGAATGTTGTGTTAAAGGAGCAAGCCATGAGTTAATACATAAAGTATCATTCCATTTATATAAATAAAGTTTAATGCATGTGGAAGTAGGGTAGCCGTTAAGAATCTTACGTAATGTAATTGTTATCACAAACCCAGAAAATGTGATTTTACCACAAATCCAGTGCTGATATAGAAGGGAGGAAAGGAGACATTTGAAAGGAGTGATCAGTGGGGAAACCCAATGGCTCCTGAGTGATGACAACATTCTATTAAACTGGGTGATGGGTGGTTTTTTATAATTTATTATACATTAAAAAATGTTCCTTTTATTAAAAAATAAAAATTTAATATACATTTAAAATATACAATTTAAAATATGTTCCTTAAAACAGTTAAGGCTTATTAAAACCACATATCAAAAGACTTCGATGACTCAGAAAGAAAGCTATTTTAATTATTTATATTTTCACATTAGCTCTACATTTGTTAGATAAAACTTTAATATTTCCCTTGAAAGAGGAACAAAGACTAATGCAGCTGGGAGAGGCAAACTGTTCTCATTGAGTCTAGTATACTTTCATTATTCACTTAGCAATCCTGGATAACTTGTTTGATTTAGGTTCTGAATTGAATGCCCTCAGGCCACAAAATTAGTTGAAGCATTGAACCTGAACTCTTCTCCCAGGGCCAGACCTTTGACAGCTGGGCCAGAGAGCAGCCAGATGCCCTGATCCCAGTGACAGCCACATCCATCCAGCAGGGAAAAAAGGGATAGAAGGTAGGGATTGGCCTCTCTTCCCCCTCCTATGAAGTTACGTGCAAGGACCCTGGATCTGGCCCCGTAGCCTGGAGCAAGTTATTTAATCCATCTGTTCTGTGTTGTCACCTGTAAAATGGGGCTAAAAATAGTACCCACCTTATGAGGTGACGAGGTTAATAATGACGAAAAAACTTGGAAAAGTGCTTGGCAAAAAAGTACTCAAAAAGAGTTAAGTGGTAGTTGCTATTATTTCCAGACATATCCTTATGCCCAAATTTACTTGAAATTTCTACTTGGATCTTGATCTCTCTCTCTTTTAAAGATTTTATTTATTTTAGAGAGAGGGGAAGGAATAGAGAAAGAGAGGGAGAGACACACGAATGCAAGAGAGAAACATTGATTGGCCGCCTCTCCAAACCTGCAACCCAGGCGCGCGCACCTGACTGGGAATCAAACCAGCCACCTATCGCCTTGTGGGATGACGCCCAACCAGCTGAGCCACACCAGTCCAGGCTCTGCTTGGATCTCTAACTTTACATGATTGAAACTAAGTTGCTGCCATTCCCTCCACTCTAGCTCCTGCATCCTTTCAGGTGCTCAGAATGACACCTCCCAGCCATCCTTGAGTCTTTCCATATTTAGTCCATCAATTCTGCTAGTCCCACCTTCAGGCTATATCTGAAATCCTTTCACTTCCCACCACCTCCAAGCTGCCATCTTGGTTCCAGCCACCATCCTGTCCTGCCTGGCTCGTTGAAATGGCCTCCCGCCTCGTCTTCCAGCTGCTCCACTTGTCCTCGGCCATACAGTTTTAAGAGAATTACCTGTTCAAACTTAAGTCAAATCTTACCACACCTCTGCTTAAAACCTTCTAATGGTCTCCCATTTCACCCACAGTAAAAGTCTAAGTCCTCACCGTGCCCTCTAAGGACCTGCGTGGGCTGAGTTCCCTCTGCCTTTCTCCTTCTCTTCTCCCCAGTTCCCTCCACTCCAGTCACACATCAGAACATGACCATCCGGCAGACACTTGTCCCTTGTAGTTCCTTCCTCACTGGCAGTTTCTTCTGCCTGGAAGGCCCCCTCCCTACTTTCTGCAAGGTCACTCCTTCCCTTCTCTAAAGTCTTCATGCAAAACTTACAGCACAGAGAGACACTCCCTGGTCTTATGTGAAATTTCACATTGTCTCACACACTATCCCCCTTTTTTTGCCTTATTTTTCTCTCCTTCCCACTTACCACATTATCTAACACATTGTGTCTACTCCTTTATCATGATTCTGGTATGGCTCCCTCAAAAGAACATATGCTACATGGGGTAGGAATATTCCGCTGTATCCCCAGTGACTCGAACAGTGAGCGACTGGCTCACAGTGGGGGCTCGCAGCACCATTGGTTGAATGAATCATGAATGTACAAGTAGTCAGCTTAAACAATACAGCAAATACAATATTTTTCTTTTTCTCCTTTGGGATCCTGCGTAGATTAACATTTTTAATACTTATATACATTTTGATGTAGTGTCCTTTATTTATACTTTGATGTCTACTCGCTAGGGCTGTATGATATGCCCAATGCTGTAAACACACCCATCCATAATAAATACAAAATAGGTCGAATTCCAGCCTTCGTTTGTGGCCCCCCGCTATTTCACAGGGGGCAACGAGAAGTGGCTCTCCCAGGCCTGGTTCCAGGGAACTCCTCCTCACCCCAGAAGGCTTCCTTGGCAACAGATTGCCCAACTGTTAGGCAGCCTCATCTTGGAAAGAGCAGGGACAGTGGCCAACTTTCTCATAATTGCTTTCCCAGCACCTAAATACTTGTTGCATGAATGAACTAGTTAATGAATGCATGCTTGGGTAGTTGATTGTGTTTTTGTCCCACACTGGGGGTGAGACAGGCCACAAGGCCCACCCAGGTGAGCTAGCACATTCTCTGGAAAAGGATAATATTGACATCTAAATGAAATATTTTAGGATCCCATTTAGATAACTGTAAAAAGAAA